AATCAAGAGCAATATCCGCAAAAAGAAAAGTTTGGACACAATAAAGAAATTAACTGCCATAAATCAACTGTGTACAGACTGGTAACTGTTTTTAATGTATAAGGAATTCCAACAAGCTCATAATGTATGAATGTGACATGATAAATATGAGTTTCTGACTAGCTTCGTTTCTGAACTGACATCATGTGACGGGAGACTGTTTGACAAAGTGATGTACAGTACCAGTACAGATCACAGATCAGATGTATCCTTATGCTCCACAAAGAAAAGAAAAACAGCAGAGATTATGTTGTGAAAATACTGTGTTCTGTATTAGTATAGATCCAACTGTGGGTGTATAGAAAAAAAAAAAGGTCTTTCCAAATGACATATTCAGACACTGCATAGATTGCAATAGTTGCAAAATACAGAGACAGGCATGCTCAGTGCTGGAATGGCAGGCATCGCTTCAAAGGTCCTCAAAGTTAGTATCCTTCAGATTTTCTTTCACCGGCCGAGATAGGTGTGTTGGGAAAAAAACAGACAAATAGATTAGCTGATTCTGCACCACTGGCTGGTTAAATGATGCAGGATATCAAGAAACAAGCTGGGACAGAACCAGTGATAAACTACATCAAGAGACAATAAATCAAATGGTCTGAAGAAATGATCAAATGGTCGGTGTCAAGACTATCACAAGATAGTGTATCACGGACAGCCCTGTCAAATTGAACATTTGTCAAGACTTTAACAAGATAGTGTATCACGGACAGCCCTGTCAGTCTGAACATTTGTCAAGACTTTAACAAGATAGTGTATCATGGACAGCCCTGTCAGTCTGAACATTTGTCAAGACTTTAAAAAGATAGTGTATCATGGACAGCCCTGTCAGTCTGAACATTTGTCAAGACTTTAACAAGATAGTGCATCATGGACAGCCCTGTCAGTCTAAACATTGTCAAGACTTTAACAAGATAGTGTATCATGGACAGCCCTGTCAGTCTAAACATTTGTCAAGACTATCACAAGATAGTGTATCAGGGACAGCCCTGTCAGTCTAAACATTTGTCAAGACTATCACAAGATAGTGTATCAGGGACAGCCCTGTCAGTCTAAACATTTGTCAAGACTTTAACAAGATAGTGTATCAGGGACAGCCCTGTCAGTCTAAACATTTGTCAAGACTTTAACAAGATAGTGTATCACGGACAGCCCTGTCAGTCTAAACATTTGTCAAGACTATCACAAGATAGTGTATCAGGGACAGCCCTGTCAGTCTAAACATTTGTCAAGACTTTAAGAAGATAGTGCATCACGGACAACCTTATCAGTTTGAACATTTGTCAAGACTTTAACAAGATAGTGTATCATGGACAACCTTATTAGTTTGAACATTTGTCAAGACTATTACAAGATAGCGTATCACAGACAGCCTTGTCAGTTGGACTCGATGGAAACAGAGCTAGAGGTCGACCTAGGATAGACAGATGTAATATTTGAGGTTTGAGATGCCAGCGTCTAGGCTGCACACACAAAGACTCATTCCAAATGCCTCTTCAAAACCTGACACTGAAAGGCAGAACTGATCTAGAGACAAGCAAGTTAAGTTCAACAATATTGTATTTTATTCATTAGTTATTGTGAAATTGTCCATGATTCACATCCATATGCTGTTACAGAAAAGATGAATGTTCTCCAAGTGTTGTGATTTGTTTGATTTCTGTTGCAGTGTTATACATTCTTAAATATAAATGCAGTAAGAAAAAATAAAATGGTGAAAACTGTGATAAATTTAATTCAACAATAACTGGGGAAATTTCAAATCCATAACTTGTCTATGCAGATGATATGACCCTCCTCCACATACACAACCCACCCTCCCTCAAACTTCCCCCCCCCCCCAAATCAAAACATAATGTTTGTTAAAATTAAAAATAAAGTAAATGACAGACCTACAAACACTTGGTGTCACCAACTGGAAGGAGAAGGCCAATCAGTGAGATGAATGGAGGCAGGTGATATCTGCCGCAATGAACCTCAAGGGCTCAGAATGTTGAAGAATAAGAAGAAGAAATTAAAGGACCCTATTCTGTGCCTCCAGGCATACTGTCATATAGGGCTAGACCCATATTTTAAGACCAATCAGCACTCAGTGGCTGATGTGGTCAACATCACCCTGGCTACCTTTATTTCCCAGGATTTTACCTGATAACCATTTCAATTTGCGCTCTGTCAGAACCCCAATCCCCAACCTTCAGATATGCAGGCGAGCATCTAGCTTCTACACCATGTTACTAAAAGACCCAGTGAAAATTGTCATCGTTTTCCGCACATACCTATCAGCCATTATCCATGTTAACAATCCAACCTACATGCAAGACAAAACTGACGGTCAATGGCAAGAGAATTCTAGACAGTGCCCACCTAATTCTAGGAAGACTTACAATCCTAGGTTACACGTTGAGTTCTACTAAAAAGGGATTCAAACCTTTGACCATCAGGCCAGCAAGCAAACTGGGTAGCCACTTTACTATGATTTTAAAATCAAATGTGCTCAAAGAAATAACTTTAAAACAATGACTTTGATAAACTCAAGACCAAGCCACAATAAGTACCCACACAAAAAAAGTGCAACATAAAAAGGTTACAATATATCAACTCAAAAACTCCCACTGCAATCTGGATCAGTCAGAGAATCAAATATTATGTATAAGAAATTAACATATGCTTGTATGTGTGTGAGTATATATATATATATATATATATATATATATATATATATATATATATATATATATATATATATATATATATATATATATATATATATATATATATATATATATATATATATATATATATATATATATATATATCAAAGCATGAGTTTATTTTAATATATATATATACATAGCAATGATATTTTGTCTAGTAATTCATTAACATAACTGCATGAATAACATTTGAAGACCATTGCTGTAGACTACTAACGTCAGACTGATCAGCAGTTCTTAACCTGTGGGTCGCGACCCTTTTCTGAGTCGAACGACCCTTTCACAAGGCTTGTCAAAGATCATCGCAAAACAAATATTTATTGGCGTTATAAAGTAGTGACAAAAATAATTGTATGGTTGAGGGTCACCACAGCATGAGGAACTGTATTAAAGGGTCGCCACAACATGAGGAACTGTATTAAAGGGTCACCACAGCATGAGGAACTGTATTAAAGGGTCACCACAGCATGAGGAACTGTATTAAAGGGTCACCACAGCATGAGGAACTGTATTAAAGGGTCACCACAACATGAGGAACTGCATTAAAGGGTCACCACAGCATGAGGAACTGTATTAAAGGATCACCACAGCATGAGGAACTGTATTAAAGGGTCACCACAACATGAGGAACTGCATTTAAGGGTCACCACAACATGAGGAACTGTATTAAAGGGTCGTCACAACATGAGGAACTGTATTAAAGGGTCGCTGCATTAGTAAGTCATGTTTCATATAAACCTTGTTAACACTAATTCCTAAGGACTGAAAATCACGTCTGTGTTTTAAAAACAATGTGAGCCAACTGGGAACTAATGACAAAACTGCTGGGACCATAATGTTTATGTTAACCCAGTGTTCTTCTGAAGCAAGTTTGTATTAACAAGGTTTCATTCACTGTGTCTATCTGGACCAGTGGTCTCCACCCTGAGCAGCGCCAGGTTGCAAGCTGGCGTCAAGCAATTTTGAAAGTTGGTTCATTTGTACTTGTAATAAACAGTTATACTTACATTCTGTTGTGGAATCTATTGTTCTCTTTTTAATCACATTTTGTTATGTTGGGAACGTGACAATAGGGGTGGGGGCTTTTTTGGGTCTCGCCATGTACTCAAGTGGGGCACGGGGTCTTGCCATATACTTAAGGGGGAAATGTTTGGAGACCAATGCTATAGACAATAGGAAGCACAGTATGAAAGGCATCAACAAACAACATTACATAATATGATATGAACATAAGAAGATATGGGTAACTCAGTCTCAGATTCTGCCATAGTGATGTCCCTTTGTCCATTATACACACCAATTTATCTACTCATCATCATCATCTTCTGCCTCTGTCATTAAGCTGTGTCAGGAGATCAGTTTCTGGTCCAGCACTCGATGGGTAGCACTGGCTTATGCTATTTTGTGTAAATGTTTCAAGTTTGTATTATCATTAACCTGTCTTCTCCTTTTGCTTATCTTGCTCTCACATCAGATCTATTTAGGTGTAGTGCCTGTGTTGGTAGTTGTAGCTGCCTTCTAACAAGATGACTGAGCCAGCTGATCTTCTGTTTCTCAGTTATTTCAGTGCAATGTGTTGTTTCCACAGACTGATAATATCATTTCTCACTGATGGGAATGCCCAATGTGCAGTGGCGTCCAATGTAATATCATAACATTTCCCACTGAATCCCAGAGGGTCGAGTTGGTGGCTTCTCCTCTGGCATCTCATCCCACATCTACAGCATAAATTATGTCTTCTGTTTGCCGTCGTCCCTAACTCACCTTAGGTAACAACAGACTGTACACTCTGTTCTCACTTGTTACTTTATAACAATACTGGATTCAGACAAGCTATGATTTTATACGGTATTACCAATATATGCAGGGTAGACACGATTCCAAGGCATATAACAATCTAGGGTAGATACAAAATATGACTCAACACCACATCACAATCAAAGATATACATAGTTCATGACCTTGCAGCAACACTATAGTTCAAGGCTTTTCAGTTAAGTTTATGAAGGGGCCAAAATGTTTAAAAGGGGGACTGTCACAGGCCAGTGGCCCGAGCAAGGCATAGAAAGAGCATTAATACCATACAACTGGCATTGATCCACGGGCAACTTGCTAGGCCTCTGTGGGCCAGATCTGACCCACAGGCCATCAGTTGAATAGCCCTGCTATAGCGTATGTGAGATAAACAATGAAATGCAATAAACTATATATTTATAATAACAAAACTAGGCCAGTTTGTAACTGGTGTCAGGAGTAGAACTTCAAGCCATGCTGGTAGTTCAGTCGGAAGGGAAGTGAGCTGGAGAGGGCGGAGACTTCCCAGTACAGACTGCGGGACAGGAAGAGGCGGTACAATAATACCCCTGCTATTGACTGGCAGATCAACACTCCCATGGTGATAAACTGAAACAGTAAACAAGAAACTGGTAACTAAATGGTAGACACTATCTGAGATTGAGCAACTAAGATATATTATATCAGTTTTACGTGTAGTTGGAAGCTGCTGTGGTGTAGCGGCCAGACAAACACCTGCGGATCCTAGGGTTGTGGGTTCTGGTCCCAATGAAGCTGGACTTTTTGTTAAAAAATGACCTTGGCTCTCAGGTCAACCCAGCTTTAAATGGGTACCAAACAAAGTCCTGGGAAGCAAAGGTAGCAGGCGTGATGTTTCCCCATCGAAAAACCAAGTGCCGGTTGGTCTAAATATTGGTCTAGCCCTATATGCCTGTAATAATGGAAAACCCAGAGAACCCCCAGATAACGTCATTGATGACGTAGAAGGTCAGAAGACCATAGGAAGCGAGGGACGCAGGTAATTGATGTGTTTAGTGTATTAAGTGCTGATGGGTGTGCTTGTCATCGGATGTGTTCATTCTAGCTTTTTACAACAAGGAAAGAAAGAACAGTATTTTGATAAGCCCAGATAACACCTAAAGGGAGCAACATTGCAATGCCCACTACACTAGAAGGCATGGAAAAGGGTCTTTTACTTTTTTACTTACTATATGTAGTCAGTACTACCTGTTATCTACTAATGCAGAATGTTGGGTAGTGTACATCAAACCTGACATCCCACTTGAGTCACTAATCTTGGGCAAAGTAGTGCCCTGGGGAGAACCCTAGCCTTATTCAAGAATTGCAAGCTGAAAACTTGATGTGATGGCAGGGCAGAACAGACCCAAAGCCTTGGTTGGCAGCTGGTCTAGAAGGAAAACTCTAACAGGCAAAACAAACATAGACTGCTCTTCTGATCAAGCAGTTTCTGAAGAGTGCTTTACTTCAGACATATTGGAGTTAGCATTCCTGTAGAGTTGTTAAGCAGGCAGAGAAAAGCATCTTGCTGCATGGGCCACACATGGTCTTTACAATACCATCCAGACATTGTGATATGGAAAGGATGAGCGTCGTACCTTTTCCTGAGGGAGCTGCATGGTCTTGAGGCATAGTGTCCACCTCGAGTGCTAGAGGTTCCGGGTTCAATCCTCAATAAGAGCTAGATTTTTTCACGTTGACTTGGACGTCTGGTAATTCCCCCTGGTCTCTGGGTAGTGAGATCGGACGCCCGTGTGCATTTTTGCACACGTAAAAATATCCCTTGGCAGTTGGAAATCGAAAAGAGTAGCCTAACGGCGCAGCCAAGAAAAAATTTTGAGTAAAAAATCTACCCAAAGTATTTCAGGATCTTTGCCAGTGCCACAGAACCTATGCACTGTGCTGAGCTTCTTCGGACTCAGATATGAGCAAGAGGAAGAACGGAGCCCTTATGGGTTACACCCGTGTGACATGATGTTTTTCCGTTGTTCAAAACCTCAAAACCTTTTCCTGAACACAAGCAGGTCTTGACAGTCACACTGGCTGTCACCATGGCCAGCCATTCCCATGCCTCCCTACAGCACACTAACAAGATAGTGTTGGAAAGATAGCCAGGCACCAACAAGAGGAATGAGCTGATCAGAGTATTTCTGCATCCTTACAAAGTTGTCAATGATACTTGTTTTTCCATATTAACTGTTTTGTTTGCTGTTATTCAACTGATGCTGCACTTGTTGATAGAACACTACTTGTCTTCATCCCACACCTGCATGTATCACACAAACATCAGCACATTCCTCTAATGTACTTTGACAACTGTCACTTCACACAGTTTCAAACTTCTTCCAGTGACAGTAAATTTCCTTCATTACCGGCTGACATGAGAACTATTCCCTGACGATGAAGAAATAAAAAGAAAAATAATTAGCTGAACATCGTTCTTTCTACTACTGCCTATCCTCTAGTTCTAGTTCCTTTTCCTAATCCATACCTTGGTCAAGTGCCATGGTGGCAGAGATTTCCTGATCCATAGTTGCTGTCAAGTGCAATGGTGGCAGGGATTTCCTGATCCATAGCTGCTGTCAAGTGCAATGGTGGCAGGGATTTCCTAATCCATAGTTGCTGTCAAGTGCAATGGTGGCAGAGATTTCCTAATCCATAGTTGCTGTCAAGTGCAATGGTGGCAGGGATTTCCTAATCCATAGTTGCTGTCAAGTGCAATGGTGGCAGGGATTTCCTAATCCATAGTTGCTGTCAAGTGCAATGGTGGCAGAGATTTCCTAATCCATAGTTGCTGTCAAGTGCAATGGTGGCAGGGATTTCCTAATCCATAGTTGCTGTCAAGTGCAATGGTGGCAGGGATTTCCTAATCCATAGTTGCTGTCAAGTGCAATGGTGGCAGGGATTTCCTAATCCATAGTTGTTGTCAAGTGCAATGGTGGCAGAGATTTCCTAATCCATAGTTGCTGTTAAGTGCAATGGTGGCAGGGATTTCCTAATCCATAGTTGCTGTCAAGTGCAATGGTGGCAGGGATTTCCTAATCCATAGTTGCTGTCAAGTGCAATGGTGGCAGAGATTTCCTAATCCATAGCTGCTGTCAAGTGCAATGGTGGCAGGGATTTCCTAATCCATAGTTGCTGTCAAGTGCAATGGTGGCAGGGATTTCCTAATCCATAGTTGCTGTCAAGTGCAATGGTGGCAGGAATTCTTTGTGGTTGAAGACCAGATGTTAGGTCATTAAAAAAAAGTAAAGGACCCTTTTCCACGCCCTAAGGCGTTAAGGGCATATAGGGCTGGACCTATATTTTTATAGACCAATTGGCACAAGATGGGTGATGTGGTCAGTATCACGCCGGCCACCTTCACTTTCCCGGGACTGCACCTGGTACCCACTCACCACTGAAGGCTGGATCGACCTGGGAGCCAAGGTAATTTTTTTAAAAAGTCCGGTTCCGCCAATGTTAGGTCATACCTATGTTTATTTGAATGTCTCTTTAAGGTTGTCGATCCATTGTTTTATTGTTTCCTTCAGCTTTATATCCAAATCACATTGGGTTGTATGCTCTTACTGATAATCCGACTTACTTCTCATAAAATTACTTTATTTGCTCTTTCTTGACAAATTTATAATAGCATTACTTATTGTAACTCCTGGAAACTCCAGAAACTTTTTCCAACCATTTGATCTTAGATGAATGGCTTTTACTCTAGTGATATCTTTTCCACACTATTTTATGTTGACAAAGCAATCAAACAAATGTTTCAAAATGGTAGTTTGTTACCTTGTCACGCAAGTATTCAGCTGTTAGCCAGGAAGTCATTACCACTGCTGGGTAACACAGAAACCACATCATACACAACTGGCAAAACACAATTTAAAAAAAAACATGTTAACTAGGGCAGGTGATTCTTTTTTCTCCAAAAATGTGAAAAATGGACTCAAAATAATAATAAATTTCTCTTTTCTTTGATATTTAATGATGGCAGAAGTCAAACAGAAGTCAGAAAAAGAATATGAAAAAATAAAAAAGATATTCAACAACTAGAAAAAAAAACAGATTGAGTTATGAGTTAGGAGTTAGATTATCTTCACAGCACTCCGGACACATCCAAAGGCGCTCAGATTCCCCTCTCAACATATTCATCAGCATTGTGCGGTTAATAGTACCAGTCCTATGTTGGTTAACAAAACTTTGTGTGCGTCCGGTGTTCTTCTCATACTTGGCGATGCCGAACTTTACTTCCAATCTGCGTATTTTTAGCAGTGATGTGGACACGTTGCTTAAAATCCTCAGAACGTCCAATCTCTCTAAGGGCAATTACTATGTCTGCGCGATCCATGGGCTGGCCAACTTCAATTAATGCAGCACCTGCCAGTCTGTCAGCTCTCTCATTACCAACAACGCCTACATTCCCTGGGACGAATATGAAAGTAACTGCGCACACAGGAGAATTTTGCAACCCCCTGTCTGTGTAACCAGCCTGCCTCGACCCGCCGGATCATACTCAAAGAATCACTTAGCACACACACACACGGGAATAGTCCTGTGATCCCAGCAAACAGAGATTAACATCCACTAAGATGAACAATAATTAAGAAATGTGAATTCTGAAATATATGTTTATTCACAATCAATAAAGAACTAAATTAGATACTGAAATTATAATGTTGCAGAGAGATTCTCAAATGAATTGGGTCAAGAAGGAAAATACTGACATTCTCAAAGATATGAACATCAAAGAAATAAAAGTTTTTAAAAAAAAGTAAAGGACCCTTTTCCACACCTTTAGGCGTATAGGGCATATAGGGCTAGACCTATATTTTTATAGACCAATTGGCACAAGATGGATGATGTGGTCAGCATCACGCCGGCCGCCTCTACTCAAGGCTGGGTCAACCTGGGAGCGAACCCACAACCTTCCAATCCTCGGCAAACGTCTAGCCGCTCCACCACGGGGACTTCCATCAAAGAAATACTCTCTCATAAATGTTTGATGTTTTAGAATCCCAATGATTCTGGAATCCCACTCTAATTTCGGAACATTTCTTTACTTAACTCTTTCAGTCCCAAGGAACACATCATATGTTCAGAGGTTCCTATTTTGTCACTCTTGACTACTCCATGGGCCTCTGATGATAAAGCCCCTGGGACTCAAAGAGTTAAGTGAGTCTTGCTAGTTACACTTGCCATCGCTAAGGGCACCATACATGGGATATAACTTATAATATAACACTCAAATCTGGAAAAAGGAAAGGTGTCAACAACAATAAAATAATTTAAATTTAAAAGACAAAACAAAAACATAGCTAACCTTTGTGAAGGAGCTATAAAATTGCCGTTTGAGAGTACTTCTCTCGGAGGAGATCAACTCTTTCAGCTTGAAGGCAAACATGGCTGCCAGCAAGATCTGCAGTACAACCAAAGATATTCCTGCATAGCTGCGTCGGGCATAGTACAGACGCAGACTCTGGTCTTGTCTCTGCTCCCACATAAACAGGAGAGCCTGGGAATAAGAGTGTGCTCCCTTGACATAAAGTTGCATTTTCTTTTACAAGATATTGTAAACAAGCACCATCATTTGTTGGCTGTTTGAGGTTTTATTAGACAATTTTGCATTCAGTAGTTTGCCAATGCTTCCTGAACGATCGACTCTTGATACCACTATCGAAATTAATGCAAAATAGTTTGCCTCCTGCAACTGCAATCACACAAAGTATCTTGGAATTACAAACCTCGTTTGCAACAACTAATCCTTAACTATGAGCAGTTGAACCAGCTCTCAATTTTGCAATTTGATTTTTGTCTGTGGTGTCTGCTGTTTACAAAACATCTGTAAAGGATATCGATTCTGTAAGACTGAGAGAAGTGTAAAAAGGAAATAGCCAAGAGGACTACTGCTGTTTTCATTTGCTATCAAACTTTATATTATACAGTAATATATATATACTAGCTGTACCTGGTCACGCGTTGCTGTGGCATAGTTTGGCTAAATGGAAAAGAAAGAAATAGAAACTGCAGGTGTCTAATATGGTTACTGTCACAATCATTGTCTGCACAGATATAGAGTAGTCTGGTTTGCCACTTTAGAACACGCCACATATAATTGTGTCTTTATATTAGTGGTCAGTATTATTAGCACAGTTTTAAAAAAATGGTTTTTTGGTTATCACATGCTAAAGCTGTTTGTATTTTTTTTAACCCTTTTAGCAAGGGAAGTTTTTCAGATGTCTAGACAAAAATACGGAGCATTTTTTCAGTACATTTGGTTATTCTTTTATTTAATTTTTTTGACATATTTCTATTATTCTGAACCCCATGAAATAATATATCTATTTGAAGGATATAGATTGAAGTTCATGATTTTCACAATATCGTTAAAATTAATTAATGAATATGCAAATTATTGCATTTGCATATCTAAAAATAGAAAATTAGAATGTGAATTTTCAACTTCAATGCATGAAACATATAACTAAAAACAAAAATATATTTTATTTGAAATCTTTTTATTGATCTTTGGCCTTTTTACAAATGTTGTAAGCAATTCAATAGTCAAAAACAGATATATATATTTGAAACAGCAACAATATCTTTAGGTGACATGTGTTTTTGACCATCAGTCAGCACAAGAAATGGATGTGCTCGAGTGTCAACACCTTCAGGTAGATATACCCTGAGCCATGGTTGGGCTGTCGTCTGAACACAACAGCGTCCCCATCTAATTCCCCACTATTACTACTAACATTAGATGCTGCATCAGTATCAACAGAATTAGTGTCATCATTTGATTCAAATGTTTTATCAACATCAAGTTTAGGGGCAGAAACATACGAGTCAGACATACTTTTAGCGGTTCAGGTCACTATCTAAAAAATTCAACAACAATTTTCACTTCGATACTAAACACTAGAAAGTCGCCATTTGTAAAGCTAATACAGCAGTGAATATAAATGAATCACTTTCAGTGTTTCAAAATAGGAGATTTCTTAGCGGTTCGAGGCGAAACACGATCGGGCCGATGATCGGCCGTTCCGTGTTTTTGGCCAGACATCCGCCGGCCGATAATCGGCCCGTCCGTGCTAAGAGGGTTAAGAGACGGAAGTAAAGCTTACTACTGTACTTGTAAATAATCAAGTAAGTCGTTAAAAAAATGAGAATAGCGGAGGTAGCGTTAGTAAAATATCAACAAATTAAGAAATGAAAACTTTAAAATCATGCGCTAAGCTCCTTAAGTTAACAATACCTGTCATCACCCCCTCCCCTCCCTCATCCACCGAATACTGCTCTCTCCCTCATCAAAGAATTTAAAAGTCATCACCCGACGATATTTTTTGTAACTGACCTTGAAACCCCTGTCCATCTGGACTAATATAGGGAGCAGGAATTGTAATAAGTAGTAAATGCAGCTAGTGTAATATTTACCACACTATCCTTCAAGTACCAGTACAACTACTACCACCATCAAACTAAAATAATGTCACTGCTATCTGTTTTACCATTGGAGTAGACAGGGAGTCATGAGCCAGAGGTGTTGGCGCTGTAAGGCTAATGCTGTCGGCACTGACTGGACAGGTTAGGATGTGTAATTTCGCTCCCCGACAGAAAAATGCCTTCACCTTACCGGCGGTCTCCGGCATGACAGCACTACGGTGTAACCGCCCAACTACAACTACTACTACTGCTGCTACTTTGAGTTGGTAAGGCAGTTACTGTGACTTAAAGCTCTCTTAGTTATCAGTTTCTGCTACCCCTACACCCCCCCCCCTCCCCCAATTCACCGACTACTCTTTCCTTTATCGAAGTAGTTTGGAGAAAAAAAAAAGTGAAATGCAGCGAAAACAGGAAAAATACGTCATAATTACCAAATGAAAGCGTGAGGCGTGTTCCAATGAAAGCTATGATAAACAGCACAGCCTAATTCCAACGCAATGTCAGAAGAAATAATTAAATCGAAATGAAAATAAATGGAAATCTATAAAAATTCAGCGTAACCATGCAATCGGAAAGTTTGAAATAAAATCATAAGTATGTGAAATGGTCAAATTTAATTATCAACTGGTTTACCCACATACCTGTACTTTTTTTAAAAGTATTTATGGCCACATGCCTAGTGCTGTCGCCACAACAGTGCAGGTCTGGATTTTATTTTACCCCCGGGTAAAAAAAAAACAGAAAAAGAAACTGAGGTAATGGGGATTCGAACCCTAGTCTCCCGCACGGGAACCCAGTGTACTAACCATTTGGCCAGCCAACCACTCCTTCTGAGCAACAAAAAGAGAAGAAAACTATGCAAGATGTGTGTCCCGATTCTTACATAACTCAAAACCGCAGGCAATTGTTTTCTCATAAACAGATATTCCAGATATAAACTTCAAGCATTATTGAAACGGCACAACAGTAGAAATCGAACCTGTCTAACACAGTTAATGTCGCAATCATTGTCTGCACAGACATAGTCTTTGATTGCCCCCCCCCCCCCTCTCAAATCCACCGACTACTCTCTAACTCATCGAAGGTTGTTTGAAAAGAAAAAAAAATAGAAATTGGGTCTAATACGGTTAATGTTGCAATCAGCGATACAGAGATTGGTTTGCTGTACCACTCCGTCGAATGGTGGAAGTCGTGCGTTCCGACTACTGCGCATGCGCATTTACGAACGTGGCTTTAATTAAATGTTACTATAATTTACCCAACAAATGTCGTCACCTCTCTCAAACAATGACAGTTAGAATTTCAAACCATGACAGGTAAAAATCCGGTATCAAAACAAAAATATCCTGAAAATTTCAGCTAAATCGGTTCAGTAGTTTCCGAGTCTATAGGTAATAAACAAACACTGATTTATATATACATTATTTTATACACACACACACATACACATAAAATAAGTAATCTATATAGCAAGAGTAATCTATACAGTACAAGTAATCTATATAGCAGGCTATTAAAGCCTGAACACCTTACCTGAACAACTCCTAACAGGTAGACGACTCGGGCTGCTGGTTTCTGACTGATGGTTCGCAGGTGAGAATACCTGCATACTGAATGAGCAGATGCCAAGGACCAGCCCAGCGATAGACTCAGAAGCATAAACAGCATGGTGGACTGTGACAGCATGTCCAGAACTGGTCACATACAAGACAAAAATGGTTAGCAGCAGCAGCAACAACAACAACAAAAACAAAGTCAGCAATATTTATTACTTTCACAAACATCTTACACAAAAATTATACTGTAAGTAAAAAAGTAAAGGACCCTTTTCCATGCCTTTAGGTGTATTGGGCATGTAGGGCTAGACCTATATTTTATCAACCACTCAGCACTTGGTGGGTGATGCAGTCAGCATCACGCAGGCCCAACTTTACTTCCCAGGACTACACCTGGTGCCTACTCAGGGCTGGGTCGATCTGACAGTCAAGCTCATTTCCTACTACAAATATTCTGAATCGTATTGTCTGTCCAATGTTAAACAAGCCAAAATGTTTTGATCTAGTGTTGGTTAATATCTTGCTGTGAGATGGCGTAGGAAGCTGTAATATGGCCTAGTGTCCAGTGTTGAACAAGCCAAAATGTTTTGATCTAGTGTTGGTTAATATCTTGCTGCGAGATGGCCTAGAAAGCTGTAACATGGCCTAGTGTCCAGTGAGTTGTGTGCTCTAACAGGAGCTTGTTTTGTAAGGATATTGTTAACCATCTGCTCTTTAGTCTCGTAAAGTTCCAGGCACAAAGGGACAGTCCTGCCTACTCCCTTCTCATCTGATGACCAAACCAATTAAGTCCTTTGACTTATTTTATCTGTTATCATTTTCATTACACAAATAGACTGCCACTGGTACTATCAGAATTGGCGCTCTATGCTGGCTGCTGAAGATGGGGACGGAGCACTTAAGGGAATGCCTTGGTTGCTGTGATGCTCACTCTTAACCTAACTCTTGTTCTTCTTCTTCACTTTCTCTTTTACAGCTTCGGGTTTCGAGGGAGACATAAGGTTCTGTGTTTTGCTTTTCTTTCCCCCTCGACCACGGACATATGGTGCTGTTGTTGAGTTTCTCTGATGCTCTCTTTCCCAAATGAACCCAGCTAAACTCATTACAATTAAAAAGAACTGTTTAGTTCTGTGTTTCATTAAACAGACCGTGGTTCTATTACTGCTACATTGTACTTATGTATTACTAAAACCAGACTCCTGATGTTTGAATGAATGTCTCTGACATAATATACCTTCTTCAGGATCTTTGATATTTTCTCTACGCCAAGTTCTCAGGGACATCTTTCTACAAGAGTACTACCTAGTCTTGGAGATTTCAGATGTTTTACTTTTGACAGAGCACTTTCAACCTCATCTTTCAGTCATTTTTATGACCATCCATCCCCAAGTATAAGATGATGTCATGTATAATGTAATCCCATGTATAAGATGATCTCATGTATAAGATAATCCCATGTATAAAGGGATTCCATGTATAAGATGATCTCATGTATAAGATGATCCCAAGTATAAGATGATCCCATGTATAAGATGATCCCATGTATAAGATGCATCTTCCCCCGTGTGGGTTCCGGGGCCCCTTTGTGGGGAAAACAAGAATAGACCCACTGCCTCCCCAAAAGCATGTCGTAAGAGTCGACTAATTGGGGAGCTTCCTTTGAAGTCGGAGTGCATCTGCCGGAGAGGCAAGGAACCAACAGTGTGTATTCAAGAGAATGAGATCTGTAAAACTGATGCACACGCATCACTCAGCTTCTGGAGCAGGACTGCAGTTCAGTAGTGGATGAGCAACCAGAACCTTCCACCAGAGTTTACAGCTGGTGAACGCGAAGAAGAAGAAGAAGATGCATCTTGATTTTGGGACCGACAATATTTTTAAAAAAAAATGACTACTACCATAGTATTATAAGACACGCAGTCTTTAGAGCCTATATTCTTGGCAAATAAGTGCATCTTGAGGAAATACCATAAATATTTTAAGCTACATTTATTCTGACCATTTACAAACGATGAAACATGAACGTTAAACAACTAAACTCAAGATCCCCCTGGCATCTATCGGACACATGTGAGGCATCTAAATGTCAGCTTTGCTAATGAGGCAACTAAATGTCAACTTTGCTGATGAGGCAACTAAATGTCAGCTTTGCTAATGAGGCAACTAAATGTCAACTTTGCTAATGAGGCAACTAAATGTCAACTTTGCTGACTAAATGTACGAGGATTTCAAACTAACATCATGTCAGCTGGAGGCAGAAAATACTGGACTTACATTCAGAGACGAGTTCAAAGTAGGGGGCCCCAACGCCATCTTTGGAGTATCTGAAACAGACCAAGAGGGACATTAGTACACAGGCTACCACAAACAGTGAGGACACCATGTCATCATCATCATCATCACTCTCCTATACCATTGTACTTCAAACTGGATTTGCAGTGTAGCCTTTCATTCTGTTCTATCTTGTGCAATCCTTTCAACATCATGGAATTTTTGGCCTCTCTCTACATTTCCAAGTTTCCTCAGTTCATTTCTTTCCCATTTCACTGCCTGCTAGGCGATCATTAGCTATCCTCATGATGTGACCAATATATTACACTCTTCTTTCGGTCCCAAGCATGGATGAGAAAGAAGGAGGGTTAGACGTGAGACTGGCCACTCCCCTCTGTAAAGAAGTGTGCTAAAGAAGCTTTTATAATAAGAAGACAGCTTATACTATTACTCATACATTTATTTTGACATTCAGTTGCTACTGTCATTTGTGCCAGTACTCAGTGTCATCTGTCAGAAAATGAGTGCTACAGGATAGTGGTAGCAACCATTAATCAAAGACAATGCAACTTTCGATTTGTTTTTGTTTTTTCATATGGCATATTCTCTGTACATTGTTAAGCATTTCTTGGATATAACTGAGACAGTTCCTTGAGAAATATATGAAATTATGTGACAGGCTGGAGTACATGAAGATCAGGAGGTGGACTGGCTGACTTCCAGAACACACTGAAAGAATCTCATAGATTGATAGAAAAACACATGAGGTAGTACCTCTCAAAACAGATAAAAACTGTTTAGTGAAATCATACCAGGATAGTCTTCCCCTTGCTTTATATAGTGGGGAAAATGAGAACAGACCCACTGCCTCCCCAAACCACATGTCAAAGAGTTGACTAATTGAGAGCTTCCTTCAAAGTTAAAGTGTATCTGTCTAAGAGGCAAGGAACCAACAGTCTGCATACAAATAAGTCAGGTTCGTAAAAACGGATGTGCGCACAACACTCAGGTTCTGCAACAAGACTAAAGTCCGGAGGTTGACGAACAACCAAAACTTTGTGCTGAAATTCACAGCTGGTGAACACGAAGAAAAAGAGGAAGAAGACATAGACAGGATGTGTTTTCTGGAGATGTCAAGGACTCGAGAACCTGGTGAAGACTGTCAAGATTTATAAATTTATAAGAAAATATCAAAAGAACGCATCGTAATGAACAATTTTTTAAAATTGTTAAAAGTCTCAATATTGCAAAAGCTTAAGATAAGACTTATGTATAATGATATAAACTGTAATGAGATGGCAATGCACACAAACAGACACCTATAAAGTACAAACTAGAACATGTCCAATTGTGTGTTCAACTAGGAATGAGAAAGAGATGGTTGTGGAGCAAACCAGTATCAGCACATGGGCTTTTCCCCCACCACGTGTTGCTTTAAACTGATACCTCTCCTCAATCAGTTCTTTCCTGTAAGTTTTTTGGGGCCAATGTATAGACTCTCAAGTCTCTCAGCTCCTACCTGTACAAATGGACAATGATGGTCAGTGCAGCAAAGGCCTGCAAACTCATTGCCACAGTCAGCAGTTGAATCAGTAGCTGCATGGGTCCTCCTTTGCTCAGGGTTGCCCACAGCTGAGGGGCTACCACACATGCCACCACAAAGTAGATCAGGCTCAGCAGCTGGTAGAACTTCAGCAGACCTTTCAATGAGAAAATCTGTGACTGAAAATATGACACAGTCAACAAAATAAACCAGTGGTTCTCAAACTGTGCGCCGCGGCGGCCCGGGGAGCCACAACCTCTTCACAGGGGCACCGCAAAAAATTTGAAGATATGCATTTTTTTAAAAATCCTTTTAAACACAAGTAGTCATACTTTTACTTAGGTTAGAGCGCCATAAAAAAAAATTAATTAGGAAAAGGTGCCTCGACTAAGAACAGTTTGGGAAACACTGAAATAAACCAAAAACAAAGAGACAGATTTAGTACAGCAATAATCTCACCTGACTGCAGGACACCAGCAATTATTATTAGACTCAAACATAAAAATGATAATGTCTGAAGCAGAGAAGTAAAGAGTGAGACAGAAAAATACAGTGTGTGAGGAGACAGAAGGGGAGAGCTAGAGAGACAGGAGAGAAGTCAGAACACTCACATGAGACAAGAAGATATTCTAAAAATTACTTATATGAGTAACTTCTATATGATGACACTCAGTAACAGATGAAACAACATATTTATGGATGCTAGGGTATATGAGTAACTTCTATATGATGACACTCAGTAACAGATGAAACAACATATTTATGGATGCTAGGGTATATGAGTAACTTCTATATGATGACACTCAGTAACAGATGAAACAACATATTTATGGATGCTAGGGTATATGAGTAACTCTATATGATGACACTCAGTAACAGATGAAACAACATATTTATGGATGCTAGGGTATATGAGTAACTCTATATGATGACACTCAGTAACAGATGAAACAACATATTTATGGATGCTAGGGTATATGAGTAACTTCTATATGATGACACTCAGTAACAGATGAAACAACATATTTATGGATGCTAGGGTATATGAGTAACTTCTATATGATGACACTCAGTAACAGATGAAACAACATATTTATGGATGCTAGGGTATATGAGTAACTCTATATGATGACACTCAGTAACAGATGAAACAACATATTTATGGATGCTAGGGTATATGAGTAACTTCTATATGATGACACTCAGTAACAGATGAAACAACATATTTATGGATGCTAGGGTATATGAGTAACTTCTATATGATGACACTCAGTAACAGATGAAACAACATATTTATGGATGCTAGGGTATATGAGTAACTTCTATATGATGACACTCAGTAACAGATGAAACAACATATTTATGGATGCTAGGGTATATGAGTAACTTCTATATGATGACACTCAGTAACAGATGAAACAACATATTTATGGATGCTAGGGTATATGAGTAACTTCTATATGATGACACTCAGTAACAGATGAAACAACATATTTATGGATGCTAGGGTATATGAGTAACTTCTATATGATGACACTCAGTAACAGATGAAACAACATATTTATGGATGCTAGGGTATATGAGTAACTTCTATATGATGACACTCAGTAACAGATGAAACAACATATTTATGGATGCTAGGGTATATGAGTAACTTCTATATGATGACACTCAGTAACAGATGAAACAACATATTTATGGATGCTAGGGTATATGAGTAACTTCTATATGATGACACTCAGTAACAGATGAAACAACATATTTATGGATGCTAGGGTATATGAGTAACTCTATATGATGACACTCAGTAACAGATGAAACAACATATTTATGGATGCTAGGGTATATGAGTAACTCTATATGATGACACTCAGTAACAGATGAAACAACATATTTATGGATGCTAGGGTATATGAGTAACTTCTATATGATGACACTCAGTAACAGATGAAACAACATATTTATGGATGCTAGGGTATATGAGTAACTTCTATATGATGACACTCAGTAACAGATGAAACAACATATTTATGGATGCTAGGGTATATGAGTAACTTCTATATGATGACACTCAGTAACAGATGAAACAACATATTTATGGATGCTAGGGTATATGAGTAACTTCTATATGATGACACTCAGTAACAGATGAAACAACATATTTATGGATGCTAGGGTATATGAGTAACTTCTATATGATGACACTCAGTAACAGATGAAACAACATATTTATGGATGCTAGGGTTCAAAGATCATCCTCACAGCATATCGAACCATTCAGTCCATAACTGATCAGATCCCCTCCTCAGTAAATCTCGCATGAGTTCATACTGCTCATCTGGCCTCACCCATTTTAACTTCCTGTTCTTGCAGTCTGTTCATGGTTGCACAGTCACAGTCACCACTTAATTCTAACAAAAGTCTTATTTCTCTAAGATAAATCGGTACATCAGCATGGTCCACTGTCCGTCCGCCCTCTATATTAGTCTTACTTGCAAGCCTATCAGCTTGTTCATGTACTTTTACCTCTGCATACGCCACCATGAAAATGAATATTTATGGATGCTTGAGGTTACTGAAGTATTGTTCCAGCAAGGAAAGACATCTGAGGGGATTCTTCTTTGTCTTCTCCTACATTCACTCTTTCAAGTGTAGTTGGCAGATTGAGCTGTGTGGCTCACACCTAGACTGTAAATGTGTTTCTGCCCAACATTTCCAGTTTCACCAAAACTCTAAACGAGTTGCCTTTTGCAACATGCTCATTAGGAAGATGGTAAATCTATCCCTAGCTCACCCCCCCCCCCCTCCCCAATTGAGCCACAGAACACATACAGGGCTTTGAGGGGATGACCACAACCTGTTTACGACCAAAACTAAATACACTCCACACACACAATATGAAGCTCCACAAAGGGGAAAAATCATTTGGATTACCTGTCTGGAGTACTGTTTCATTTTATTGTGTGGCCTAGGTTTCTTCCTGTTTTATTTACTGATAAAGTCACTGGTCTAAATGTGTGCGCATGCATGTCTGTGTACACAGGTATCTGTGCGCACATGCAGGTATGAGCGTATACCATTCCCCCCAAAAATGCATAATTATCCAATGGCATTTTTAAGTTAACAGGAAAACCCGTACACCTTAAAACTATCGATTCTTCTTCTTCTTCTGCCTCTCTATTCCTCAATGGAGCATAGGTCCTCAACCAACTCACGCCAAGTCGTTCTATCCTTCGCCATTGCATAGAGCTCTCCCCATGTCCTCCCAATCTTTCTAACCTCATTCTCCAGCTCTCTTCTCCATGTGTTTTTTGGCCTTCCTTTATTCCTATGCCCCTGTGGGTTCCAATGCAAAGACATTCTAGTTATGCTGTTCTCCTGTTTTCTCAGTGTGTACCCTATCCAACGCCAGCGTCTTTTCCTCACCTCCTGATCCACTGGAGCCTGTTTAGTTCTCTCCCAAAGTTCTACATTAGTTATTCTATCATACCATTTTATTCCCTCTATTCTGCGCAGGCACCAGTTAATAAATGTCTGTAATTTATTAGTAATTGCCTTGGTTGTTCTCCATGTTTCCGCCCCATACAATAGTACTGATTTGACATTAGAATTAAAACTTTAGTTTAGTATTTCTTTTAATTTCTTTTGACCTCCACAAATTCCCTAGTGCTATGAAAGCCCCTCTTGCCTTTTGTATTCTTATTTTAATATCTCTATCAGTTCCTCCATCTTTATCTACATTACTGCCTAAATAGGTGTACGACTCCACGTCTTGGAGTAGGGTGCCATTAAGAGAAACCACATTACTATTTGCCTGATTTATTCTCATTATCTTTTTCTTTCCTTTATGGATTTTCAGACCAAGCTGCTGTGATCTCGCATTAAATATATTTAATTTATCTTGTATCTGATTCCGTGAATGGGACAGAAGAGCAATATCATCAGCGAAGTCCAGATCATCAAGCTGTTTTGTAGGGGTCCACTGAATTCCATTCTTGGTGTTAGCAGTTACTGTTTTCATAGTCCAGTCTATAGCCAGTAAAAATAAGAGAGGCGACAAAAGACATCCCTGTCGCACACCTGTTTTTATTTCAAATGCATCTGCTAGCTTTCCCTCATGAAGAACTCGACATTTCATGTCTTTATATGTTGCCTTTACTAAGTTGATAATTTTCTGTGGGATTCCATAGTGCCCCATCAATTTCCAGAGAGATTCCCTATCAATGCTGTCAAATGCTTTTTCATAGTCTATAAATCCAATGTAAAGTGGTGAGTTCAGTTCAATGCTTTGCTCTATTATAATACGTAATGTGGCTATCTGATCAGTACAGGATCTGTTTGACCGAAAACCTGCCTGCTCATCTCTTAGCATTTTATCAATAGCATCTTTTAATCTTTCCAAAATAATTCTACTTAATATTTTTCCAGGAACTGACTGATGATGTTTAAAACTATCGATTACCAAGCTTTAAAAGAATGTCAAATGGCTAGTTGAAACCTAAGGTATTCCTGTGTGCAATCTTAATAATTTCACTCATTAAATTACGAAGATTTTCAACAATAAAATCATGTTCCTTCCGGTGGCGTTGTTATTTTTTAGTAGTATATGTGAGTGTGTGTGTGTGTGTGCACGTGTCTGTGCACATGTGTATGTATCTTTTTTCTTTCACTGAGCTTTTCTTAGTTATGTTCTGTGTTTATTTTTCAGTATTAGCTCGACCTCAATCCCCTATTTTCAACATCATTCTGTGTCAACCCTGAACAAGCTTAAAAAAAAAGTCAATTGACTAGTTGAAACCTAAGGTATTCCTGTGTGCAATCTTAATACATCCAGTGTCAACCCTGAACAATCATCATCCACATCTGAAACATGTTCTGAGCACTACAGATGATAATACACGTGTGATCTGGGCATACAGAACAATTCTTAAAATACCATGGACCAAGAAGAAAAAAAACATCAACATCCTTCATGATCTGAGCATCAAAGAGAATTGGTTCATAAACAGCATCCTGTCATGAATTTGGATCACATTCTGCAGCTCTGCCCATTCTACCTACAACTTTGAAAAGACACCTGGCCTCAAGACGGCATCTGCGCCCTCCATGAATATAAGTGCAATAAGACATCTTTTTTGGGTGCCTAGCTGACCATGTTCTTAGTGTACTTGTATTCATGGCGATGCGCAGACGCCGTCTGGAAGTGACAGTTCAATTCCCGGCATGGTAACTATAGCTTTAGATTTTTATGTTGTCTAGTGTGTTCTTCTATCTATCTACTTCTTTCTATGAGTGTCGATCAATACACTTTCTGTTACTGCATTAATTCAAAATATTTAACGGCCTCAAAGATTCCCCCTTTGTTTATTTATAGGATACACCCGCATATGTATACTCAGTGATTCAATGAGTATGATCCGGAGGGTTCAGGCAGGTTCAGTGCGAAGACAATGGCTTGAATCAATTCAGAAGTCCACTGTGCGAGGAGTCACTTTTATTTTTGTTCCGGGACACGCAAGCGTCGATGGAAATGAAAGAGCTGACAGGTTGGCTGGATCCGCTATCACTACTGACGGTCGGCCTATGGATCATGCTGATATTATCAATGCCCTCAGAGAAATGGGAAGGATAGAGGACTTTGGTGGCAGTGAATCCACATCACTCGCCAGAATGGCAGACTTGGGAATTAAGATCGGCACAGCAAAAAACGAGACGCACACCGGACACGTCAGAAGACTTGTTAATCAACATAGAACTGGTACTATTAGCCATCGGACGTTGGGATTCATACTGAGGGGAGGATCTGAGCACCTATGGACATGTCCGGAGTGCAATGATGATAACCCAACTAACTAACTAACTAACTAACTAATTATTTATAGGAATGACATATACACACCGGAACCTACCAATCAAAAACCTTTCTTAAATGTTTGTGTATTCTAGACAAAGCATTAAGGTCTACTGTGTTTGTAAATTGTTGCTGTGATTGTTATTTGACATATGCTTCATTAATATAAATTTCTGTAACCTATGGTGCCATTTAAATGGTTTGAAATTAATTCTGTCTGTGTTCCATAGTTGTGGATTTCAAGTTGTACGATAGACATGGCCAATAAGACACCTTTTTTGGGGTGCCTAGTTTACCATGTTCTTAGTGCACTTGTATTCATGGCGAGGCGCCGTCTGGAGGTGACAGGTTCAATTCCCGGCATGGTAACTATAGCTTTCGATTTTTATGTTGTCTAGTGTGTTCTTCTATCTATCTACTTCTTTCTATGAGTGCCGATCAATACACTTTCTGTTACTGGATTAATTCTGGCCTCAAGAGCAAAGTGTGCCGAGCAAGCTTTGGGGAACCATTAAGGACCTGCTACTGACATGTGAGTTCATAGAGTGAACCCACCTGATGGTCTGATCTGAGCATACGAAACCGAACACAAAAAAGAAGTAGAAAGTCGAGGTATTTTGGGCGCGTTTAACATCATGGTGGCCTGGAGATAAGGGAGATGGAGGGTACAGTTTCTGCAAAAAGAGGCAGAAACAGATTTTCTTGAAGACGGAAACAAAACACTGAAGATGTACTGGCTATAAAAGCACAAAGTGCTGAAGAACTGGCTATAGAAGGAGAGACTTTCAGGCGTACCATGATGACAGTGACATTTTGTAAAGGTCCCACTGATTGATGATGATAAATCTGGCATTGCTGCTGTATTCGCCTCAATAAGACAACTTGCTGGGACCTTCCAGAATTGAAACCGTAAACAATACAAACTTTAAAAGTATTTCCCAGAGTGAGTTCCAGGGGCCCCATTGCGGGGAAAACAAGAATAGACCCACTGCCTACCCAAAAGCATGTCGTAAGCGTCGACTATTTGTGGAGCTTCCTTTGAAGTCAGAATGCATCTGCCTGAGAGGCAAGGAACCAACAGTCTAAATTCAGGTTAATCAGATCTGTAAAACTGATGCACACGCAACACTCAGGTTCTGGGGCAGGACTGCAGTCCAGAAGCGGACGAACAACCAGAACTTTCTGCTAGAGTGTAGAGCTGGTGAACGCGAAGAAGAAGAAGATTAACAGTATTTATTTACCTGTTTCTTGATCTCCAAAATGTTCTGTGGGGTTTCCGAGACTGTCAGGGTTGCACAGTTGAATTGTATACTGGATAATGTTGGGCTTTTCAACTGCTTCTTTTGGTGGGGCAAGGTCACAGGTATACACGTCTGCATACACAATGTGCCAAATGTGAGGGTAATTTGAATGTGGCATCAAGTGTCGCCCAGTCGTTTCATTAATAGTAACTGCAATAACAGTTTACGCAAGCATATTAACAACAGACATTATAAAGATGGATGTAGTTGCAAGAACGGAGGAAATAAACAATTTCATAAATAAATTATCTTACTGTATGAAAAATTCATGAAACAATTATTTAACTTGGTGGATATTATTTCATTAATATATAACAAATTCATGAAACAATTATTTAACTTGGTGGATATTATTTCATTAATATATAACAAATTCATGAAACAATTATTTAACTCAGTGGATATTATTTCATTAATATAAAAAAACTCAAGAAACAATTATCCTGCCAGCAGAGATACTCTTTCAACATTGTATCAATAATCAGTAGAATAATTATCATAACAACAGAGATACTTTTTTTTAATCATCATCATCATATAGCAGGTCCTTTACAGAACCATCACAGGCTGCCAGTGAAAAGCTCTCCCTTTGTAGTTCTCCTGTCTCATGTATTGCCATGTGAGAGCTGTCTCCAATGCCCTGTGTCCACCTTCCTATTAATGAACTTCTTCTAGCCTCTCCTTCTAGGAATCAGTTTTTACATTACTATGGTTAAGGTTAGTTGCATATCCTTTACAGGACGTTGCAGAACCAACCCCAACATCCCTGGCAAATTGACGTCCAGTAGGTCGCCATTGCTTTCTGGACGGTCAGCTCTCTTGATACCACTGTTGAAACCAACGCAAGTCACATGACCCGCAGCTGGGATCGAACCCGGCATCCAGGCATTACGAAGCGCTCCCATCCACTTGGCCACAGACATTACTATGAGTGCCGATCAATACACTGTCTGTTTGCTATATATAATGTTTGCATGACTATGCTGGACTTGGACTCTCAAGTTTACACAGACAGTTCTGTTCATCAGGGTGAAAGATCTGGCTGCACATTTTTAACTACAGAGAAGGGAAAGAGCCTGGAAGAACAAAATTATGCTTTTTTTTTTTTTTTTTTGGTTTTGGTTTTTGGTTTAAATCTACAACTTCAAGCATGTGGTTTGAGGTGGAGGCAATCATTGAAGCTCTGAAATGGATACCAGAAAACGGTTATCAGAGGAATTATAGTGTCTTATTCTCAGTATTGCCAAAAGTTCAAAATGGACAAATGTGACATGAGTGGATACTAAGCATCAGTATGTTACCATTTCAGTGACTCACTTGGATATGCTGTCCGGCTATGCAGGAGTGTAAGGGAATGAAAAAGCAGATTCTTCAGCTACAAAGAGCAATACATGTACGGGATAAAGGTGTCACTTTTAAGATCATTTATCAATGAATTCTGATAGAAGACAAGAGGGATGAAGACATAACATATGTAAGAATGTGTGAGTGTGGAATTAGGAATGGATAATGCGAGGAAGGATGTAAGAGAGGAAGAGAACGACGTATGTAAAATCAGCATGCTCCAGGAACAGTTAGCATCTACACCTTAAGACATTTACACACGTGGTTCGTCCCCAGTAATAATCCTGTTTAGCATGTCTTCTCCTTTATTTGCATATCAACAGAGATGCTGCAAGGACAGGCCTAATCGGTTCATTCTGTGTTCGTCTGTCAATTTTCTGAGTACCCACCTTCAGCAAACCCTCAAATTTAAACAGATCATGCAATATGTTGTGTGCTGAAGCATGTGAGCACCCTACTGCAGCTTCTACAGAGTCAGCTCTTACTTGCCTGTCACCTCTAATCATTTCCTTCACCTGCTGCACGGATGCATCTGTTGCAATCTCAACAGGATGACCAGATCGGACTTCATTTACAATTTTAGAGCCTCCTTGAAAAAATGTTTTTACCCAGCTTTGCACCGCTTTAGGGAATAAATATTTTTCAGCATAAACAGGAAGCACATCCTTATGAATGTTTTTTACAGGCAGCACTTTTGCCAAAATAAAACAACAAAAACAAAATAACAGTACACTGTTTTTGAGGGTACACTCCATATACACAGTCGCCATTTTGTTTCTGTGTTGCCAATGGGCACGCAACATCCAGAGCCACCTAACGAACAAAAACATTAAGTTCGATGTTGTTGTCACCTAATGATACCTTTAGGAACAACCAACTATATTTTCCTGCCATCCCATAACCATTTTGACCTACATATTGACTTTGACTCGTATTCTGTTTTTTTATTCTTCAGTATCTGTGAAATGGGCCATGACCAAAACTGGCAGGCTGTTACAGTAAAGATGCAAGTTCTCAAAATGTTTATATTAGTTCTTACATATTTAGTTAGTTGCATATCCTTCACAGGACGCTGCACAACCAGCCTCAACATTGTTTGGCTATTTTGGTTTTTCTACGCAAATTTACGTTCAATAGTTTGCCACTGCTTTCTTAATGGTCGACTCTCAATACCACTGCTAAAACCAGCCCAAGACAGTCTGATGCCAAATCACCTGCAGCTGTGATGGAACCCAGCACCTCAGCATTACAAAGCACATTCGGCACGCCTAAGCCAAAGAGCCGACTTCTTACATATACAAAACTATGGACCAATGATCCTACCAACAGATCCTGCTTTGGTGAATCGACGCTGGCAGTCTGTGTCCACTGCTGCGTCATGCCAGCTTTCTGAAACAAACAGGTACAGCTTGGCCCCATTTCCCGTTGTGTTGACAGTAAAATTGAGTACCGCATCACCTGCAGCAAAACAGCAAACAAATAGTTGATGCAATCATTATACTGCACTTTAGACTCAAGTTCAGTCTAAATCAGCCCCCCCCCCCCCCCCCCCCCCCCCCCCACCTCCCACCCTCGTGTAGGTTCAGTGCGCCATTTTGAGTGGTAAACAATAGGCCTACTGCTCCTCATAAAAGGTATGAGGTAAACGGCAACTAATGAGGGACGTGTTGACAGGCACAAATATCACAGCTTAGCTGTAATATACAACACAATTTTCAGGGCAAAAGAAGAGAAAGAACTCTACATCAGAAAACAATGAGCCAGATAATTATATCTGTCTTCTTCTTTGTGCGTGACTGAGTGAGTGAGTGTGTCTGTGAATGAGTGAGTGAGTGTGAGTGAGTGAGTGTGAGTGTGTGTGTGTGAGTGTGTGTGTGTAAGAGAGACAGAGAGAGAGACAGAGAGTGAGAGAGAGATATATACATTTGTTGTTGGTGTAACTGTGTTGCAACAGATTATAGAAGAGCCTTGTAGCCGAAAAATCTCACTTCTGTTGACCAGGTAAGCCTTTCCAGAACTAGAACATTTACAATAAAGGCACAAAAAGGCAATCATCATCATCATCATCGTCGTCGTTGTCATCATCATCATGATGTAGCAAATATTTTGAGAATGTTGCTCTATTCACAGCCAACGGGGCAAGATTCTTCTTGATGCAGCAGAATCTCAATTATCCAGCATAGTTTATTATAGGTAATGAAATAAAGAGGGAGCTGCCAGCCATGGTGTAGCGGCAAGATGCTTGCCTGTGGATTCCAAGGTTATGGATTCAAATCCGGACAGCGTTGGATTTTTTTTTTAAATGACATTGGCTCCCAGATCAACCCAGTCTTAAATGGGTGCCAGCTACAAGTCCTGGGAAGTTAAGACGATCGAGACGGTGCTGACACCACATCATCCACCAAGTGCTGAATGGTCTATAAAATAAATGTCTGACCCTATATGCCCAATACACCTGAATTCATGAAAAAGTGTCTTTTATTAAAGAAATATGGAATAATTTACTACGCCAAGTCATTGCAAGCGTGCATCATATGATTTTATTTTTCCTGCAGTTAAGTCAGACATTTTAAATTTTATTTTAAAACGTGAACATTTTTTTTTTAGACATTATTTCTCTATAATAAATGTTTTAAAATGTACAGTAAAATACATAAGAAACATTTATAAAGTACAAGCCTTATTAATAATAAAACGAATGAGAGCGGGTTAAGCGTAAAAGGGGAGTTTTTAATTATATGGCTGGAGTAGAAACTGAGTGTTTATAGAACTCCAGCATATCCAGCTTTTTTTTTTGTTTGTTATCCGGCCTACCTTTCCACCAAAACTAGGTTGGATATTGTGGAGTCTACAGTACTTTGGTAAATCGTGCATTTTTATGTCCAGGGTGTGTCTAAAATCCTGGATACATTGCCAGGTTGGCCAACTCTGCCTCATCTTTCCAAAACCATGAGCTCCAGTACTGTTCTTTCTAAACCATCATGGCATTTGATGTGGCCAAAGTTTATAAATTTCCAAGACATAATGCTGATAATGAGCCAGTTTTCTCCAATTTTCTTTTCTTCTTGGTCATCCAGATTTCTGAAAGAAGTGTATACTTGCCAGTTATGAAAAAGGCTTTCGGGACACATGCTATAGCAGCAAAAAAAACTATAGGATTAAAAAAAAATGTTCAGAATATTGGAAAAAGAATTGCTCTTTGAGCCATTAAAACCATCACCATCAGAGATATACAGGGGGCAGCACAATTTGATAATACTAAATTTCTGTTTTTAAACATTCAGGGTTAACAGCTTCAGTTTAATTGTTTTTTCCTGTCCATGAAATGATCTATGGTTCCTACCCACTTTCAATAAGGTACAGCTGTTTTTCCCTCCAGGATTGCTATCTGTAGCATGAACACCTCAAGGATGAGAATCAAACAGGTACAAATCCCAGAAGCTCTGTTCAACATTATAGCCATATTAAAAAAAACAAAAAGGTCAAGGACCCTTTTCCATGTCCTCAGACATATAGTTCACTTAGGGCTAAATCTAAACTTTATAGACCAATTAGCACTTGGTGGGTGATGTAGCCAACATCATGCCGGCTGTTTTTTTACTTCCAACAACTTTATCTGGTACTCATTTAGGTCTGGGTCGACCTAGGAGCCAAGGTCATTTCTGAAAAAATCTGGCTTTGTCAGGACCTGAACCCATGACCTTCAGATCCTTAGACAGGCATCTAGCCGCTACACCACGGCGGCTTCCTTATACAGCACAGTTATACTGGGTTATACAAAACGGTAGCAAACTAACCTGTAGGCCAGTGTGCGTGGAACTGTACAATATTAAGAAAACATACAGATCACACACAAATGGCAAGAGGTGTTAAGATACAACATTAAAAAGGATGAACAGACCCACATACACACACGTTTACATACATGTGTGCATGCACACACATACACAAACACACAGAATAAAATGTGTCAAGATACAACATTAGGAAGACATTCAAAACAAACAACAAGCCAAGTTTACCATGGAAAGCAAATGAAGTCACATACTGGCCCTTCCCTGCTTGTGCCAAATGGGTTGTGAAAACTCCCTGAACTGTTTTTGCCTCGGCTGCATGATTCAGATTTACCACCAGAAGTACAACTATCACATTCCTCTGCCATTTTGTTTTTGAAGTGTGAAACTGTAGCTTCTCAAAAAATCCACTCAAGTTTTCTACAAACATGCCCAGGAAATGTTCACTTTCTGCAGCAATCTACTCAAGTCCTTTACAAACAATATCTAAAAATGTCCGCATTCTAGGGCTTTCTACTCAAGTTTAGTATGAACATGTCCAGAATCGTTCACTTTCTGAAGATAAAGTTATCGTCAAAATGAACCATCATCTGTGAGTGAATAAATGTGAAAGAAAAGTGCAAAAATTAAATGTTAAGATACAGCACAACTCTGGAGATAAAGGTGTATTCATAGATGAGAGTGGAGATAGAAAATAGATAATTAGTCGACCGATCATCCTCAAAAACAAACTGGACAAGCCCACAAGTGCTAGAATCACATTTTCATTATCCCCCTCAGCATGTGGTGACTGTTAACACAAGTTCTGTATTGGGTTACTATTCTTCTTTAGCTAACTGTATAATGTTCATGTCTGGTAACACCTCTCTTGACATGAAGTTCTTGTAGTCTTGTCAAGGTTGCTGATTCACCCTCATCTCCTGAAACATAGTGGAGATGGGGTAGCTTGCTTTCCGCGTGTGGGTTCCAGGGCCTCATGGTGGGAAAAAAAGAAAAGGCCTACTGTCCCCCTTAGGGACATTTCCTTTGAAAACAGAGTGCATCTAAAAGAGAGGCGAGGAACTAACAGTCTGCATTCAAATAAGCCAAATTTGTAAATTGGATCTGCACGCAAAACTCAGGTTTTAGAACAAAACTAAAATCCAGAAGTGGATGGAAAAACTAGAATGTTCTGCCAGAGTTTACATCTGATAAAGGTGAAGAAGAAGAACAAGATAACTTACTTTAAACCCGAAAGGCGAGAGGGTTGACTTCACTGTACTGAACATTTTCCTAAATTTCAAAATCTGTTCACTACAATGTTGAGTTACTTCACCATTTCCCCCCCCCCCCCCCCCCCCCCCCAATAACTGTAGGTGTTTTAGGAAATGAACAAGTAAACAGTCTGGCTGGTTCCTCATAAACTGGTGGTAAATTTGAATACCTGGATATCGTCAAGGCATTTGACGAGTGAACAATCAGTCTGAAAGTCCAGATGGATCATCATGGTCTTGACAGAATGGTGCAGCAGGGAGTGATTGACAGAATGGTGCAGCAGGGAGCGACTGACAGAATGGTGCAGCAGGGAGTGATTGACAGAATGGTGCAGCAGGGAGTGATTGACACAATGGTGCAGCAGGGAGTGATTGACAGAATGGTGCAGCAGGGAGTGATTGACAGAATGGTGAAGCAGGGAGTGATTGACAGAATGGTGTAGCAAGGAGTGATTGACACAATGGTGCAGCAGGGAGTGATTGACAGAATGGTGCAGCAGGGAGTGATTGACAGAATGGTGCAGCAGGGAGCGACTGACAGAATGGTGCAGCAGGGAGTGATTGACAGAATGGTGCAGCAGGGAGTGATTGACACAATGGTGCAGCAGGGAGTGATTGACAGAATGGTGCAGCAGGGAGTGATTGATAGAATGGTGCAGCAGGGAGTGATTGACAGAATAGTGTAGCAAGGAGTGATTGACACAATGGTGCAGCAGGGAGTGATTGACAGAATGGTGTAGCAGCGAGTGATTGACAGAATGGTGCAGCATGGAGTGATTGACAGAATGGTGCAGCAGGGAGTGATTGACAGAATGGTGTAGCAGCGAGTGATTGACAGAATGGTGCAGCAGGGAGTGATTGACAGAATGGTGCAGCAGGGAGTGATTGACAGAATGGTGTAGCAAGGAGTGATTGACACAATGGTGCAGCAAGGAGTGATTGACACAATGGTGCAGCAGGGAGTGATTGACAGAATGGTGTAGCAGGGAGTGATTGACAGAATGGTGTAGCAAGGAGTGATTGACACAATGGTGTAGCAGGGAGTGATTGATAGAATGGTGTAGCAAGGAGTGATTGACACAATGGTGCAGCAGTGAGTGATTGACAGAATGGTGTAGCAAGGAGTGATTGACACAATGGTGTAGCAGGGAGTGATTGACACAATGGTGTAGCAAGGAGTGATTGACAGAATGGTGTAGCAGGGAGTGATTGACACAATGGTGTAGCAGGGAGTGATTGACACAATGGTGTAGCAGCGAGTGATTGACAGAATGGTGTAGCAGGGAGTGATTGACAGAATGGTGTAGCAGGGAGTGATTGACAGAATGGTGTAGCAGGGAGTGATTGACACAATGGTGTAGCAGGGAGTGATTGACAGAATGGTGCAGCAGGGAGTGATTGACACAATGGTGCAGCATGGAGTGATTGACAGAATTGTGCAGCAGGGAGTGATTGACACAATGGTGCAGCATGGAGTGATTGACACAATGGTGTAGCAGGGAGTGATTGACAGAATGGTGTAGCAGGGAGTGATTGACAGAATGGTGTAGCAGGGAGTGATTGACAGAATGGTGTAGCAGGGAGTGATTGACAGAATGGTGCAGCATGGAGTGATTGACACAATGGTGTAGCAGGGAGTGATTGACAGAATGGTGCAGCAGGGAGTGATTGACACAATGGTGCAGCATGGAGTGATTGACAGAATGGTGCAGCAGGGAGTGATTGACACAATGGTGTAGCAGGGAGTGATTGACAGAATGGTGTAGCAGGGAGTGATTCTGGGCAGGCAAGATGAACATACAATGAAGCTGCTACTGGTTATGTTATGCTATCACAATCTATGTCACTGCACACTGGACATTCGCATGCATGCTCAATCCTCCTATGCAGCAGCCACTCCAAGGTACTTCTACTAATTGTTCCCATGAGAAGTTGGTTATAATGTCTCCTATCTCGGCCTCGAAGGTGGCATAGATGTGCTTCACCATGCTTTACTCTCATGTCGTGCAATCGTGTTAGTGTTAGACACATCCGTTATTATCCACTAGCCCAGTCCGTACAGCATTGATGATATCTGCTGTGTCCATGTTTCTTCCATCATGCATTGATGCATTGCTTGCCAGTTGGTCTGTCCGTTCATTATACTACTGCTATTGGTACCATCAGAATTGGACTGGGTGTTGAAGATATGTAATGATAGCAGCTGTACCATAGAGATCTAGACAAGATTTGATATGGCAACAGCGGAATACAATGTGGAAGAGCAAAATCAGCATCGCAATCAAGGTCAATATTTACAAGTCAAAATTTTTTTTTTTTTTTTTTTGAATTTTTCTCCTTCAGAACTGTCCTGAAGGTTCAGTGACTTAAAGAGTCCCATTTCAGATACTAATCAAACAGAAAAATCCCTAGATACCCTGTGGAACACTTTAACTATACAAAACAGTTATAGTGGGGTAGCCTATTGCCTTGGTGTGGCTATTGCCTTGGTGTAGCCTATTGCCTTGGTGTAGCCTGTAGTCACAATCAAAAAAGGTCGGAAGATTTTAGAAATGAAAAGAGACGAGTAAAATATTTCAGCTATATTATAAAATAACTCAAGGAGAAGCAACAACGAAATTCATCTCTTTAAATCACTACTGATCACTGCCATCATGAGGGCTAATACATTGAAATGGCTGGGGAATATTGAGAAAATGCCAGATGACAGAGAGGTAAAAACTGTATACACAAGGGAGTTGAATGGTAATAGACCACGATGCAGACCAAGTAGAAAATGGAGAGATAATATCCAGACAGACCTACATTCACTTTGTGTCACCATCTGGAAAGAAGGCAAACCAGAGAGATTAATGCAGGCGGGTAATATTTGCAGTAGTGAACCTCAGGGGCTCGAAATGCAGTGGAAAAGTGAGGAGGAGAAGAAGAATGAAGTAACAGAAGAGGCAGACATGGATACTGGTGGGGAGGTCAACAGATGAAAAAACAGAACATCAGAATGAGAGTGTACAATGATGTTGGAAATCCACTGCAGCCAACCTTCACTGTGAAGATGGCACCTTACTGTCCTGTTGTCATGTGCGGGTGAGGTTTACAAGTTATATATTTTGTTGGTAAAGGCAAGCCTCTCGTAAGTAACTACTTTATTGCTACCTGTTGTCTATAATAGATCTCATAACAGCATTACATACACCTGGCAGTTAGCGGAAACAGAAGCTGGGGTAAGTGAAATTTAAACAAATAATTGAATATATAGTTACTAGACTTTGTTTAGTTTTTTTATTTTATTATATTTATTTATATATATATATATATATATATATATATATATATATATATATATATATATATATATATATATATATATATATATATATATATATATATATATATATATATACACACAAAAAAGTTGGCTCTCCTCTGAACTTCTACCCAAAATTATGGTGGCCAAGCAAATAGCCTAACAGGGCCTCAGTCGTGTGTAAAATTCAGACTTTTTGCCAAGGAACAAATCGCGGCAAAACTAGGATCGGATCCGAATAACGAAACAAATGCTCTAACAGGATCTCAGTGATATGTTAATTGCGGACCTGTTTCTGCAACTATGCCGCACCGCCGACATAATCCGCTGCGCCGCTAAGTACGGCACGGATGGGGAGCTAAACTAGATGGCTGGGACTCACGAGCAGCAGCTACCCTATCTTCTGCAACTTCCTCTAATTTATTTGCTCGTGAGTCCCAGGCACCTAGTTTGGATCCCCATCTGCGCCGCACGTAGCTGCATGGGGAATACTGTCGGCGGTGAGTTTAACTGCGTTTTGCACATGCCGAAAAGTGTGAGGACAACGACACTAATCTGTGTCAGAGCGTGTGGTCTCCCCGCCATGTGGCTTTTATCGTCTGTAATGTTGCGTGTCTCGAAATTGTCAATGGTCGCTATTACAGTATCGTCTGCAGAAAAGCTTGAAATTGTCAACGGTCACTATTATCATCTGCTACTATCGTCTGCAGTGTTGCGTTTCTTAAAATTGTCAAGTAATCCTAGTTTTGCCGCGATTTGTTCCTTGGCAGAAAGTCCAACATATATATATATATATATATATATATATATATATATATATATATATATATATATATATATATATATATATATATATATATAAAAACTTTTGTT